AAAGTTACCTAGCTAACCAAATGGAATTGATGTGTATTTTCTCCTATTCTAAAGAAAGATAATGCAGCATAATGTAGACATTATTAAATAATATCACTGTCACACACAAGAGAAGTTTGCTGAAGAGAATTCTGGAATGGTTGTAGCAGTGCATCAACAGGAAACTGCCAGAAATTCAAGATGGATTCTGAAAATAACATGTTGTTGTTAGGTGTCACTGAGTATGACTCATAGCAACTCTGTGAACAACGGCTCTGTACACTGTCCTATCCTGTGCCATCCACAAACCCTCTGACACACTCAAGCCAAGTGCCTCAGTCACTGTGTCAACCCACCTGGTTGAGGGTCTTCCTCTCCTTCATCAGCTTTCCAACTTTTCTCTCCATGGAACAGCCTTTCCGAGCAGCAAGCCCAGAGTATGTGAGAAGAAGCTTTATTGTCTTTGCCTGTAAGGAACATTCTGTTTTCACCTTATCCAAAACATATCTGTTTGTTCTTTAGCAGTTCATGGGATCTTCAGATCTCTTCTCAATCATCACAGTTCAAAGGCAGCAATTCTTCTGTCATCCTTAGTTGTTTTCCAGCTCTCAGCTGCATGGTAAGTGAGTAAAAAGACCATGGCCTGAGTCAAATACATCTTAGTTCTCGAATTGACATCATTACTCCTTAATAATTTGGAAAGGTCCCTGACTGCAGACTTTCCCAGTTCAGTACACCTCCTGATCTCCTGACTGCTGGTAACAAGTGTATTGATAGTGGATCCAAGTAAGATGAAGTTGTTAACATTCTTAAGTCTTTCTCCGTCCATTGTGATGTTGCTTATTGGTCCAGGGGTGAGGATTTTTGTTTTCTTGATGTTGAGATGTAAGCCATATTGAAGGCAATTTTTAACCTCATGCAGCTAGTGCTTCTAGTCCTCCTAATTTTCAGGAATCAAGGTTGTGTCATCTGCATAATGAGTGTTATCAATGAGTCTTCCTGATGTCTGATCCTGATGCCACATTTTTCTTCATAGAGTCCATCTTCTGAAATAATTTGCTGGGCGTATAGATTAGAAACAATACAACCCTGACACACACCTTTCCTAATTTAAAATTAGGAAAATTACATGGGACAAGACATATCATTGTTGATGTCAGATGGATTCGGGATGAAAATAGAGCATACAAAAAAGGTATTTATCTGTATTTTATTCACTATACTAAAGCATTTGATGGTGAAGATTTTAGCAAATTAAAGATAACATTAAGAAGAATGGGAATTCCATGTAATAACTTAATTGTACTTATGTGGAATTTGTCCATAGACCAAAATGTAGTTGTTTGGATAGGATAAGGGATACTGTGTGGTTTGATATCATGAAGGATGTGCACTAGGCTTGTTTCCTTTCCCCATATTTATTTACTTTATACGCTGAGCAAATAATCCAAGTAGCTAGAGTATATGGAGGAAGTGGCCTCAGGATTGGAGGAAGACTCAGAGAGAATCTATGATACACAGACTGCAGATGACACAACTTTGCTTGTTCAAAGGGAAGAGGATTTGTAACACTTACTGATGAAGATTAAAGACTACTTCTTCAGTATGAATAACACTTCAATATCATGGGGGATAATCTTCACAACTAAACCAACAAGCATTATAATCACGAACAAGAGAAAAGACTGACGCTGCCAAGGATATAATTTTACTTGGATCCACAATCAATGTTCATGGAAGAAGTAGTCAAGAAATCAAGCAATACACTGTACTGAGAAAATCTACTGCAAAAGCCTCCTTTACAATGTTACAAAACGAAGTTGTCACTTTGAGGGCTACAGTGCATCTGACTCAAATCATGATGTTTCCAGTCACTGATACACACACAATAAAGCTGGATGATGAAAAAGGAAGAAGAATTAAATATATCTGAATTATGGCATTGGTGGTGGTGGTTGTTAGATGCCATCAAGTCAAGTACAACTCATGATGACTCTATAAACAAAAGATCTGAAAGCAATCCTGTCCTGCACCATCTGCACACTTCCTGACACACAAGAGCCCATTGCATCAGTCACCTTGTCAATCTACCGGTTGAGGGTCTTCCTTTCCCTTGCCAACCCTCCACCCTTTCCAACATGACGTCCCTCTCCAAGAATAGCACCTCCTAACAATATGTCCAATGTATGTGATGTGAGGCTTCATCATTCTTGTCTCCAAAGAGCACCCCGGCTGCACCCTCTCCAAGATATATCTGTTTGTTTTCTTGGCCATCCATGGAATGCTCAGTGCTCTTCTCCAACACTACAGCTCAAAGTCAGTTCTTTTTCTGTCATCCTTATTCATTGTCCAAGTCTCAGATGCATAGCTAGTAACTGGAAAGACCATGGCCTGAATCAGACACACTTTAGTCCTCAAACTGACATTACTACTCCTCAATAATTTGTAAAGGTCCCTAACTGCAGATTTTCCCATTGCAATGCGTCTACTTATTTCCTGACTGCTCGTACCAAGGGTAATAATTGTGGATCCAAGCAAGATGAAGCTGTTTACAGTTTCAATCTACTCTCCATCTATCATGATACTGCTTATTTGTCCAGTAGTCCATATTGAAGGCTGCATTCCTTGATCTTCTGCAGCAAGTGCTTCAAGTCCTCCTCACTTTCAGCAAGCAAAGTTGTGTCATCTGCATAATGTAGGTTATTGATGAGTCTCCCTCCAATCCTGATGCTACACTCCTCTTCACAGAGTTCAGCTTCTCAGATAATTTGCTGAGCATATAGATTGAACAGGTATGGAGACAGAATATCTCCCTGGTGCACTCTCTTCCCAATTCCAAACCATGCACTGCTCCCCTGCTCCCTTCACACAACAACCTCCTGGTCCAAGTATAGATTCCTCATGAGCACAAGTGCTCTGGGATTCCCATTCTTCTCAATGTCAGCCACAACTTGTCATGATCCATACAGTCAAATGCCTTTGCACAGTCAATAAAGCACAAATAGACATTCTCCTGGTATTTTTCACTTTCAGCCAGGATCCATCTGACATTAGCAATGATATCCCTGGTGCTAAGGCCTCTTCTAAATCCTGCTTGAACTTCTGGCAATTCCCTATCTATGTACTGTTCCGGCCATCCAAGAATATATTGCTAGCATGTGATATCAATGATATGTTCGATAAATTCCACATACAGTTGGATCACCCTTCTTGGGAATAGGAACATATAGAGACTTCTTGCAATCTGTTGGCCAGACAGCTCCAAATTTCCTGGAATAGACTGATGAGTGCATCCAAGGCTACATCTATTAATTAAGACAAGTCAATGGGTATCCCATCGATTCCTGGCGTCTTATTTTTTGCCAACGCTTTCAAGATAACTTCCACTTCCTCTTTCATTACCATTGGCTCCAGTACATATGGTACTTCTTGAAATTTTTCAGTGTCAGTCAATTCTTTCTGGTGCAGTGACTCTGTATCTTTTTTGGATGTTTTCTGGTGGTGGCAAAAAATGTTACATGTACTATGGACTGCCAGAGAAGGAAGACTCTTGGAAGATGTACATCCTTGGCAGCAAGAATGGTGAGAAACTTCATCTCACATGTTTTGACATGTTATCAGGAGAGGTCAGTTCCTGGAGAAAGGTAAAGAAGGGGATCAGTGAAAAGAGGGCAGCCCCCAGCAAGATGGATTAACACAGGGGCTGCAACAGTGGACTCAAATAAAGTACAGCAGCAAATGTGAGCATGGTAGGGCTCCCTTCTATACGTGCATGGGGCTGGTATGAGTCAGAACTGATTTGACTGCACCAGGTAACAACTAAAAAACAACTATTATTCTCTTCCAAGATGAATGGTCAAAGAAATGTCAGGTGGAAGGGCAAGCTTCGTAAAATGTGACATTTCAGATTTGAGTTGGGGAAGAATTTTGTGTAACCTTGAAAGAACAGAGATAATTTCTCTAGGGACTGTATTTTGTAGGGTACAAGGTGTTTTCATTGGCTTTATTTTATTTTATTTTTTTTTTTTGGCTTTATTTTATTTGATCTTCCTAACACAGATAAGGATCTTTAGCTTCAAAGGTAAGGCTACGGATCCAGCTGCCTGGCATGACTCATGTAACCTCACACTGTGGTCTGACTGGGGTTGGAAGACAGGTGCTTCTAGGCTGAATCCCAGTTCCAGTGTAATGTTGGGCAAGGTACTTTAGCTGCCTGTGCCTCAGCTTCCTCATTGGTAAAACAGGGATACTGAGAATCTATTCTTGTGGTAAAGTTTATAGAAGACTTAGCTTCATGAAAGAGTTTGGCACAGGACCTGACAAGAAGTGCGAGACCGTGAATATGCTGTTTTACTTCTCTGGCTTTGCTTCTTCACCAAATAATAGAAAAGTAAAAATAATACCATCATTCGAATGTCTTAAAGTTTTAAAAGCATTTAACACTATGTATGGCATTATCACCTCTATTTCATAGATGACAAAATAAAAAGCCATGCAAACAAAGAAAAGCAACAGCTATTCCGTTCAAGGACTAGCATTCTGGCTCCTATTTCAGCGTTCTTTGCCTCACTTGGAGCTATTTCACTGGAGAGCCTCCTCCTCTTGAGTCATTTCACAGCGAAGGGGCTTGACACAGAAGTCAGCTGTGTAAGAGAAACCCACCAATAAGCAGGCAGCAGAGGCAGTGTGGTCACAGGTAACCTAAAAGAATTATGTACTGCCCTGGGGTCAAGCTCACCAGCTGCCAAGGGAAAAAACTTCCCTCTAATTGGCCCTGCAAGCTGATGAAGGAGGAGCCAGGCTCTCGCTGAAGTAGGCTTGCAGTGCTGACTTAACAAGCAGAAGGCTGGCAGGTCTGATCGCCTGACAGAGACACTGGGCCTCAAGCCTTGGGATTGGCCTAAACCAAGGTTGTATTGAGCCACTGCTGGGGCTTGGCAGCCCTTCAGACTACTGATCCAGAGCCTAGAAATAGTGTTGGAGAAGGCTACTTTCCAGCCTCAGCCTGACAGAGAAAGCCAACCATGCAGGTGCTAACCAAGCGTTACCCCAAAAACTGCCTGCTGACTGTCATGGACAGGTACTCAGCCACTGTGCGCAACATGGAGCAGGTAGTGATGATCCCCAGCCTTCTGCGCGATGTGCATCTCAGTGGTCATGGGGACGATGTCCAGGCTGACAGCCCTGATCTCTACAAATACTTCATCATGCTCAAGGCCATCCATGTAGATGTGGACCATGGGCTGCTACCTCGGGAGGAATGGCAGGCCAAAGTTGCAGAAAATGAAGCTGATAACGAAGCTTCTGAGATGGAGGAGGCCAAGGAAGAAAGGATCTCTGGGGAGATGGACCTGGAAGCCCAGTTCCACCTGCACTTTTCCAGTCTCCATCACATCCTCACTCATCTTACCCTGAGAGCTGAGGAGGTGACAAGGAAATACCAGGAAATAACAGGACAGGCCATGTAGGCCTCAGACTCTGGGAAAGGTAATGGTGGTCTTCTTAGTGGGGATCAGAGTTCACCAGAGGGCCTTTCTAGGGGAGGAGAGGGAGCGGAGGCACAGCTCTGAGGGAGAGGGAAAGTCCAGCTGTCACACAGAGCCACCCTTATGTTAGGGTGTTGGGACCCCAGTGCAGGAGGGCCCACCAGCAGCTCTGCCTTACTATCTGATCTAGGACCAGTGAGTTGTTGAGTGAATGGTTATGAAGACACAGGAAAGGTGGCCAATGAGTACTAACGTTGTGTGCACATATGTATGTGTTTGTATATTTATTTCTAAGTAGGTGGATATTTATAAATATAAGAATTAATATGTTGTTAATTTTAGAATATAAGCTATGAACCTCTCCCCAGGGTCCAAGCATGTATCATTTCAAGGGATATTCCTTTTACCAAGGCTCTAAGCATAAGGACCCCTGATACCATGGATTACTAATCATAGCCACTATTGGGTATATACTAAGTGCCAAGTTAAGTTAGTCCTTCAATTATCTTATTTAACATTCACAAAAATCTTACCAGAAAGGTTGCATTACTTCCATTTTACAGATGAAGGATCTTGCTCAAGGATTTGTATTTACTCAGGTGTGCGTTCTGACCTCTCTGGGTGGCTGTGAATGTTTGTCAACTTTTTACAAGTTACAGAACATGGAACATTGTATATGGTACATTGAGTCATGTAGGTGAGGCTGTTCACATCACCTCTGCAACTGGCAAGGGTTTGCTGGCCATCTCAGATCTCTGCTGGACAAATGGAAAGCCCTCTATGTGGACACATGCACATGTGTGGCTGGTGTTGTAAAGTGTGGATGAGCAAGAGGTTACACAAGTATACAATGACATTAACTGGGAAGCGAGAAGATGTGGGGCATTTACGGGTGGGACATTCATGGGATGGACATCCAATGAAAAAACTGGCCCCTGCCAGTTATCACCCCAGCTCACTTGTTTGTTCCCACAAACTGGCTTTTTCAGTTGTAAAACAGATCCATAACTATCAGAATTTCAAAACTACCTGATGTTGGGATGCAGGCAGAGATTTTTACCCCCACTTTATGTAGTTTGTAGCAAGTTGCATGTTAACCCAAAGGCTAGTGGTTCATATCCAGCAGCTGCTTTTCAGGCCTCTGTTATAACTTACAGCCTCACGAACTCTAAGGAGGATTGCTATGAGTCAGAACTGACTCACCGGCAGTGAGCTGGAGATATAAATAGAAAAAAGAAAATAAAAAAATAAAAAATAAATATATAAACACAATCTAAGACACATAGCTGTTGAGGGAACAAAAACCAAGACTCGTGCCAGAGTTCTCTGCATTAGACCCATTCTCTGCCATTTTGAGCTTTCTTCATGATCTGCCTGCCTTATGGCTGCAGCCTTTAAAGAACTGTTTCAGGTATTTCCTTGGGTACTTTTTCCTCTCCCAACTCAAATGAAAATGCCAACCTCAACCCTGCTGGCCTCTCCTCATGTGGCTCCCTGGGTCATCTTTCAGAAGGTCTTCTTGAATGAAGCTGGGTAGTGAGGGGATTGAGTTCAAGTCCTGTTCCAGCACTTTAGAACTGCAAGGCCTGGAGCATGCCATTTCACTTCTCTGGGTTTGTTTCTTTACCAAGTAATAGTAAAAGTAACACCTAGCATCCACAGACTCTTAAAAGTTTTAAAAGCATTTATACATCAACTATCTAATGAATTCACCTATTCTATTTTCCAGATGAAAAAACTGGGATCTCAAGGAGTAAAATGAATCCAAGGTTATTAAATGGCAGGGAAAGATGTGAATCCTGTTCTAACTAGGCTCCTCTATCACGGGGGATTTTTCTGTGCTCCTTAGAGAATTCTTCAGCCTGGGTTAGAAAAGGGAGATGGGGATATCAACGCTGGGTGGAAAACCCACTTTGACCAAACAAACTGCTCCAAAGACTATAACAATTCTAGATCACATTGCTACACACTCTGACAGAACTCATGGAGGCAGCGTGGCATAGACAAAAATCCAGGCTGTTGGCCTGTTTGGGCATTGATGTCTGTATGACCTGACAACTTGCTGCACCATCTGCTTCAACTACCCTGTTAGCAAAATGCAGAGGTGAAATGAGGTGAGTTGCCTCAGCTCTGATATCCTCATTCTTCCAGTGCTGCAGCACTGCCAGTTTCCTTGTAGCAACATCAGCGCTGAATGTTTCTTCTCTTGACGCTAGGCTGTGATAGTACCTTAGCTGTTTGGATTTATACTGAGCTGGCTTTTTAATATCGTCTGCACTCCACAGGTCACTCTACAAGACAGAAGGCAGACTTTGTGACAAGGACATGGGGCAGTTTGGAGACACTGATGAGGCCAGAAAAACCTGGACTACAGCTGGAAAAGAAGGCAACTCGGTTCTCTGGGACGCTTCCCCCACCTCCCTTTGAGCACCACTTCATGGACTCAAGTTGCTGGTTCACCTTTAGGATGCTTCTTGCTATTAACTACTCTCCTTGCTCCTCTTACCACCCTGGGGCTCTGGTCAGTGGATCATGAGGGACCACAGTTACTTCTTTAGTGTGGTAAGATTGCACAGGAATGTCAACATCTGACCAAAGGTCACCTCCCTCCTCTTGGCAGTTAACTGCTGTGTGATATTGGACAAGTTATTTAACCCATTAAAGTCTGTAATTTCCTCAACCATAAAGTAAGGTTCACTTCACCTACCTCATAAGATTGTTAGGAAAATGAAACAAGAAAAGCACCTGGTATGCAGGAGCTATTATTACAGGCTGATATTTCTTATATATCTTCTCTAACCCTTGCTTTTATTCTCCAGAACTAGACAGTAGCAATCCCTTGGAATGAACAGTTCACCCTCTTGTACCTGCTAACCCCTAATGAGGCCAAGCACGGGTAAACTGTAAGCTTATATTGCAGTAGCAATAAAATAAAAAATACCCAACCAATTATACTGTGTTACTGGGTCATCTTTATCACTTGTTGTGACAAGATTCCACTTATCCCAAGTGATATTCAAGAGAAGATAAACAGAATACATTTATTTGCCAGGAACTATCTGTTAAAGATTCATAATGCCAGCTAACTAGAAATAATATAAAACATAACAAGAAGATTATTTCATTAATCTCCAAAATGTAATTATATGACTTCAGAAATGAAACTTTTTGGTTTGGCAGTTAGATTTGTTACCTATGATGTATAACCTCCTTCCAGCTATGTGGGGTTTTTTGTACACCAAGCTCCAGTATAGACAATATTAGCTATTGAGCCAATTTGTCCCAGGATTATCCCTTAGATCTTCTCAGATCCCTTTGTAATATCAGGACTCCTAACATCTCTAACTTGAGTCTCTTCCTTCCAGTCTGTTCTGTTGCAGAATAAGCTCAGAAATACAAATAGGGTCATGTCACTTTGATGTAAAATTCTTATCATTCCACGAACCTTACAGAAATAAGTCATGATTATCCTGCACTGTAGAAAAAAAAATCTTTACAATCTGGAATGCTTTATAATCAGACTAGAGTAAGAAAAGGAAGTTCTGGTGGCTTAGTGATAAGGAGTTGTGTAGCCAATCCAAAGGTATGTGGTTCAGAGCCACCAGCTGCTGTGCAAGAGACAGAGATCTCCTCCCGTGCAATTTATTGCCTCTGAAATCCCTCTGGAAGGTCAGTTCTGAGTTGGGTTTTTTTTTCTGACTCAATAGTACACAAAAACAGAGTAAGAGTAGGAAAACGTTTCCTCCAAAGGGCCAAATACCAAATACTTTAGGTCTTTGTCATAGCTACTAAGCTCTGCTGTTGTACCATGCTGTGAAGTTCTTGCTATGTGCTGTCCAGTTGGGACTAACTCATAGTTGACTCTCCAGTGGGTTTTAACAGGCTGTAAATAAATCATCCAGAAGGAGATTTCCCATCTTTCTCTCATGGATCAGAACCTTTGGGTTGGCTGTACCTTACTACTAAGGCACCAGAGCTCCCTTGGAACAGACATGAATAACATGTAAACAGATAAGCAAAGTTCCAATATGACTCTTTATGAAGTAGTGGCCTGTGAGCTGTAGTCTACTGTACTTTTAGCTAGAATTAAACTCAATTTTTAAATGTCAGTTATCGTCTTAAAGCTAGGTGAATGGTAAAAAGACAAATGGATAATTCTCTGAGAAACTATTTTTCTTGGAACAAAAAAGAGTCAAAGTACTCATGACGACTATTTTAATTAAAAGGTGTTAACTTATTGATCAACACAAACTTCATAGCATGGAAACATATTCCGTAAAACTCAGAAATAACAGGTTTCAGCGAAACTGGAGCATTCTTGAGACTTCAACGTACGGGATGAAATGGTTCAAGAATTTCTGAATAAGTTTTCTTATCTGGAAAAGGAAATACCATAACCATTAAACACTTAAATTGTTTTACAACTCAAATTTCCTAAAGAAAAATGATCACCCAATATTCTTATGGATAGAAGCTGTTAGAATCTTCCCACTTGCGGGACCTCAATCATGGCTTGCCAATGACTGCTTTATTTCGTTAAATGAAGAATAACTTTGGAAAATCTGTGGTGCATTCAGATGCCTGCCATGAGGGACAAGGTGATGTCAGAAGTATCCTGACTGAAGAAGTGATGAAAAACAATGAACAGAGTGAGGGAGAGGTCAGCTTGGACGGCCCAGGAGCTAATGTGCTCAAGCTCTCCATATTCCTGCTGCCAGGGTCTGTAGCTTTTGGCACATCTGCTGGTTGTTGTTACTATTATGTACCATTGAGTCGAATATGACTCATAATAGCAACCCTAACAATAACTCTGAGCCTTTCCCTAGTGGCTTAGTGGTAAGGAACTGCGCTGCCAATACAAAGATAATGATTCAAATCCACCAGGTACTCCACAGGAGAAAGATGGGCAATCACCTCCCATGCTATGGGTTGGTTCTAACTCAACAGTATACAACAATAATAATAACAATCTGCTAGTAAACTGCTATAATCTAAGCTCATGTGCTAAAGTACATTCCTACAGAGGAACTCTGTGAAAACACTAGGCAAAGAGTCTGAAACTGAAAACTAGCTCAATCACTGGAACTAATCTTACAAATCATTCTTTTCTAGATTTTTTCCAGTTCTAACATCCAATGGTTTCGAGACTTTCCCTATTCCCTGATTCTTCCTTTATTTATGGTTTTGTATTATTTTTTAAATTTCTCATTGGCTCAATTATAAAGATTATATATGTAACTGAAGACCATGACACTATAAGAATAATATAATTTTATAGTTATGACAGGACCTTAGCAATCAGTCCAGTAAAATTTATATTTTATATTATATATTACATGAATAAGAAAATAATAAGTTCAAAGTATTCCTCTTTTTATTCAATCTCAATCATTTAGTAAGAATCTGCCTTTCAAATATATAGACTGTGAAGGCTCTGGATATATATTTATCTCCATATGTATGGAATATATTAAAAAATATATATATTCCTATGACATTAAACTCCCAGCCTACAAAGAGCTGAATTATGTATACAGATACGTAATAAAGAGAAGATAATTGCATTACAATCACATTCACATAAGAATAAAGCTCAGTAGAGCACGCTGAGTGAGACCCTGTTTGTACCTACACCAACTCAGTGAAGCCTGAGTGAGATTTTGCTAGGTATAGAGTGGGAACAGGAGAAAGAGGAATAAGAGAAGACAGCATGTGAAAAATTATAGTGGACAGGCTCAGGACAAAGCAATTCCCAAGGAGAGAGTGAGTAATGGGAGATAAGGGAAGAAAGACAGGCAGGGCAGTTAGGCAGCATCCCATGCAAGTCAAGTCAGCTCTTATTTGTTATGTGCGTATGATGTGTATGTGGGCTCTGTGCTGGAAATTGGAGAAACAAAGATTGCATTACAATCTAGAGAGAGAAAAAGAATATACACACAAACTAAAGAGAAGTGCAGAAGGTTTCTACCAGAGACAAACCTGGGGAAACACACCATTGCTAAGGAGTACGTGTTTAATATTAGAAAATACAGGTTTTTATTTGTTCTATCCTTCAATTTTAAGCAGAGAAGTGATCAGATTTGCTTTCAGTAGGAACCAAGAAAGCAAAGGGAATCAGGAGACAAGTGCAATAGTGCCAGGAAGAGATTATCAGGGCCTGAACTAGGTTAGTAGTACTGGAATAGAAAAGAGAACTCAAAAACACATTTAAGCAGAACTGACAAAGGTTTGGTGACTAATGTAAAGTTAAAGACTTGAAGATGATTCTCTTAGGTTTCTGGCTTGAGTGTTCAGATAGACAGAACACAAAGTCTGTTGGGGAAAGCAGAAAAGGACAAGAATTTTGTTTGTTGTAACTGAGCACTATGGATGTACTCTGGTAGAAACTGGATATGGGAATACAAGAACATTCTAGTCTGTAGACAAGCTGTGTGTGATAAGAATACAAAATGTCCTTGAAGCCACAGGCATAGATAAGATAAAGGGGGGAATGGTATAGAGTAGGAAAGGTTTTCAACAATAATTTGAAATACCTTTTTCAGGGAAATCTTCTGGATGTGATTTTATATACGCAAACATATCATGGTCTCTCACAGCATACAAATATTCCTGGCGTTTCAAAACATAATATCCAACAAAAAAAAAGGAAGTAACATATAGAAGCTGGCGATGAAAACCTGAAATTCAAATGACAAATGTCAAAGACAGTAACCATCAATTAATGTGTATTAAGAACTCTATTTTTACATTTTATATTTAAGACACACAGCTCAAACCCACCATATGCTCCAGGAGAAAGATGGGCAATCCCCTCCCATGTGATTTATTGCCTCTGAAAATTTGCTAGAGATCAGCTATAAAGTCAGTTCTGCCTCACTGGCACACAAAAACATTTTTACATTTCAGATACATAATTTATTATTAGGGATGTTGGGGAGCTCTAGCGGCCGAGTGGCAGGAAGCTGCACTGCAATCCTGAGGGCACACAGTTTGAGCTCAGCAGATGCTCTGTGGAAAAGGATGGGCAGTCTCTTCCCGTGGGATTAACTGCCTCTGAAAACCTACCAGAGGGTCAGCAATGGCTTGGTTCCCACTCAATGGTACACAACATTCTTTTATTAAAAAAAAAACCAACAAAAAACAAATACAACCCAATACTTTTCTATATGGCAATGTCTTAAAAAAAATCCAGGCTGACCTTCAGAAAGTATCCACCATCTTCCTACAGAAAGTGACTGCCCAGTGTCGTCAAATTGTTTCTGACTGTAGTGACCCTCCCTGTAGGACTGAATAGAACTGCCCACAGGGATTCCAAGGCTGTAAATCTTTTCTGTAGCAGCCTGCCTCATCTTTTTTTTTCTGGAGGAGTGGCTTGCGAGTTAGAATAGCCAACCTTTAGACTAGCAGCCAAAGCCTTTAACCACTGTGCTACCAGAAGCTCTTTTCCTCCTAAAAGTTGGCAATTATGAAAAGTAACAGTCTACAAACAAAATTATGACCAAAAGGCAAGCTATTTGAATTCCCCAGTCACTGTGTAGAACTCAGATGTGGTAGTTTGATTCCAGGTGCTCTGGTGGCATAGCCTATAGTGTGCTATGCTGGTAACCAAAAGGCCGAGGGACTCAGATGTTTGAATCTCTGTGGGAAAAATGGGCAAGATTTCTCATAAAAATTTACAGCCTCAGAAACCTAATGGAGGTTCACAATGAATTGGAAACAACTCACCAGCAGTGGGTGAGCTGGGTATATGCCAGACAGGAGTCCTGACAGCACAGTGGCCAAGTGTTGGGCTGATAACTGAAAAGTCAGTGGTTTGAACCTATGAGTGTGGGAGAAAGATGGAACATTACATATTTGTTGTAAAATATAGGATTTCATAGGTTGTAAATGTTTACAGAACTAGAAGTCTATAGGAAAATTTCTACGGTGTCCTTTTAGGGTCACCATGAGTCAGACAATGGATTTGGTCTTTTAGGTATGCCAAACACTGAACTACATGAACACAACAAAAATTTAATAAATGCTCCAAGCATAATCATTTCAATAAAGCCCCTAAGACTTAAATTTCCAAAGCAACTTAGGGATGTCTGTGGAACTAGGAATACTGATCCCTAGCCCTGTGTTTTACATGTGATCTCATTTAGTTCTCAGAGTCACACAAACCAAACCCAAATCAATGTCCATAGAGTCCATTATGACTGACAGTGACCACATGAGACAGAACTTGTCCCATAGGGATTTCAAGTCTGTAGTCTTTATCGAAGTAGACAGCTACATCTTTCTTCCACAGAATGACTTATGGGTTTGAACTACCGGTCTTTTGGTCAGCAACTGAACACTTAACTATAGGCCTTGAGACACCAAAGGGGTATTACCTCCATTTTAAAGATAAGGCAACAAATTCACAGTGGTAGAGTGCATCTAAATTCCAAAATCAATCTCCATAATAGTCTATGTGTTTCCTACTGCCAAAGGGGCCCTTTAGAGTAGTGAGAGAAGATCTTCACCCTGAAACCCACAGCGTCCCTTTTCAGCAGGAAGTAGCTAAGAGAATACGCCATCCCCTTTTCCTTATGACTCAGGGTGAAGTCTCTCTCAGGGAGGAGTGATAGGGAATGGCAAAGGACACACCGACAAAGGAGATTAATCAGAACTGACTTTGACAAGCACTGTGGCAATTGGACAATTAAAACAGACATTCAGATGGCGGGGAAGAAGAACAAACTGGGGAGGAGGGTGGAGAGAATGGTGCGGCAATGAAGGAGTGAAAGCCCAGAATCCCTGTGAATGTTCATTGAAACTAATAAAATTTAATAATAATAAAAAAATTCACAGTGGTAAAATTACCAGAATCGAGAACTAGAAAAGTAGATAGTGTCAAACCTCAAAGCATGGGTTCTTAACCACTATATTCCAATTTCCCAGAATCAGTTTTTTTTAAAAGCAACAAAAAACAGCAACAACTCAACAATTTATTGTTATTAGTCAGAACAGACTCATAGCTGATCCACCAGTGGGTTTTCTGTGACTCTAAATCTAAGAGGAGGAGACTGCCTATCTATCTCCCAAGCAGTAGCTGGTGATTCGAAAGTCCTACCTTTGGGGTGGCAGCACCAGACAACAGTAAAAAGGAACCTGCTAAATAATAAATGATAGTAAGATTTCTGAATATACGATGGACTGCCAAAAGAATAATAGTAATCTGTTTTGGAAGAAGAGCAGCCAAGGCTCTCTGTACAAATAAAGACAGTGAAACTTCATCTCATATGCTTGCTGCATGTTGGTGAGATGTGGAGTCCTTGGAAGAGGTCCATGCTTGGAAAGGAAAGGGCTGGAGATAGGAAGACCTTCAATTAGACAGATTGACACACAGTAATTGCAACAGGGGGTTTATGCACAGATGAGACTGTGAGGGGGGTGCAGGATCAAGCCTTAACAGCACCCAACAACAAACAGAGATGAGGTGCTGCATGTCATGTTTCAGTCAGTCTTTATGTCTCTCAAGTCTCCCTCCTAATATATACCATGTAACACAATGTCTACCACAGAGAACAAATACATGGTAAATGTTCACACAGCAGCCAAAGAAAGGGAATTTTGCGTAGCATTTTGTGTGTCAGGGCTTTATAGAATCTTAATTTTTACAACAAATATGTAATTAGTCTCATTTTATAAACTGGGAAACTTCAGTTATGAGAGGCTTGGCCACACAACTTGCCAAGTGACACAGCCAGAAGCAGTGATAGAGAAGGGGTATTTAGTTTTAGAGAGGTCTTTTCAGTTCATCAAGAGGCAGGCTCAGGGAAATATGGAATAATAGTGTTCAAAAGTGAGGAAACACCATGTCTTTAGAGGGAGAAATGGGCAAGGAACATTCTTGTCCGTGGTTAAAGAACAGATCTCAGTATTATTTGAGCACTAAAAGTGCTGAGATCTGGTGGACAGGAGCCATGACATGTAGCTGGAAGGTCAAAAAGGTGCTTATAGGATGATTCCTAGATGTGTAACCGCTGCATTAGCTTTCTTCCTAGCTGAACTACCTGTACTTCCTATTTTCAAATCAATTTCAACTCACGGTGACCCCATTTGTTAAATGAGCAGATCTGCTCTATAGGGTTTTCTTGGCTACAATCTTTACATAAGCCGATTCCCAGGCCTTTCTTCCATGGTGCTGATGGGTGTGTCAGTAATGCCATCCCTGAGGCTGGCATATGAATGAAAGTCACTTGTACCATCCAGGGACCTTCCAACAGGACTCCTTCTTTCAATCCAAGCTTTACAGTGCTGATAAAGCTGGTCATTTAAAACAAAAGTCGAACAGCCATAATCTCCCAGATTTCAAAATCTGCCTATCTGGAGTACACTCATCAAATTGGCTCCGTTTACATAGGCCTTGACTTCCTCTGATGGAGTCCTGGTGGCAAAGTGGTTAAGTGCTTGGCAGGAGGTCAGTGATTGGGATAATTGGGATGGGAGTGTCGGAGACAGTGGGATTGGCACAGGACAGAGCAGAGTTTAGGGCTGTTGTGCACAGGGTCGCTATGAGTCACAGGCGACTCGAAGACACATAACAACAACAACAACAACCTACTCCTTAGGAGAAATGTGGCACTCTGCTATAAAGGCCTGGAAACTGTGGAATCAATTTGATCACAATGGGTTTTGGTTTTACCTCCTTCGTCTCTTCCCACTGGAAGCGCCTACTATCTACTTGATATATCAAAATTAAGGATGTTTTGCTGCCAACTCAAAGGCAGATGGTTCAAATCCACCAGCTACTCCTTGGGAAAAGATGGGTAACTTCTTCCCATGCAATTTACAGCCTCTGAAAACCCACTGGAAGGTCAGATAAGAATTAGTTCCAATTTGATAGCAATGCATAGAAGGGGCTTTTTTTTTTTTTTTTAGTTCGAAACCATTTCTTCCCAAGTGTCTTTCCTGTTCTTTGGGAATCCAGTCCTTCGCAGAGCTATTATCAGGATAATCAATCTCTAATTCTAATATTTGTGGTAGTACATACTTCCACACCAGCAGCAATATTATCTGGGAGTAACAATGAGTGAACAATGTAGAGTATCAGATCCTTTTCTTCCTGGACCTAATGAACCAGAACTTCCATTTTAACTAAAGCCAGGCTATTTCCATGCACATTTTAAGAAGCCCTAGTTACCTACATACTCTGAGTTCTAGAACCAGCTCCTATTTACTAAGGGCATGACCTCCAGCAAGCTGCATTAACCGCAAGGGTTCAGCTTTCTCAGAAGACAGCTCCTCATAGGATACTTGAGGATTAAACGCTGTTAACAGACGAAGACTGTCAGCGCCGCACAGAAAGGAGGGAAAGGTCATCTTTTGCTCTGTAAAATGAAGGGAGCAAGTGATCCAGTTCCGGATCCTTAGGACTTTGTGTGACCGTGCCTGACCAAAGCTCAGTTTCCCTACTACGCCAAACGTCACCACGGCCCGGGGTCCGACTCTGAAGCGCTTACAGGACACAGACGCCCATGGGAGGCAAGGAAAGGCACTTAGGCGGCATGGCCCCGGAAAGCGGAGCTGGGGCCGTTCCTTCGCCCGGCGAACCTGTTCTCCCGCCGACCCCGCCCGCGCAGCCCTCACCCGTGGACAGCACTGGCCTCCGCCGCAACGCGTTATCGAGCAGGCCGGCGCAGTAGCCCATGAAGCCTGTGTAGAGAAGCCGCGGGTCTGTCAGCTTGGGCGGCGGCAGGTTTCGGGCCTCGTCAGGTAGAAACTGTAAGGGCACTCGGCCCGGCCGTCCGCTCATCATAGTGAGGCCGTTCCCACTCGAGGCCTGGCCTCAGACCACCAGCGACAGGAAAAACCACGGCGACAACCTCGCCGGCCCGGCCTAGACTACAAAGCTCTCTGCTCCGCAGACCAGGCTGAAGGGCACTGCGCGGCCCGGCGCAACCTCCAAATGCTTCCCCAGCGGCTGCCACTGGAACTACGCATGCGAGGTTCCGCGCTGCTAAATGGCCTGCCACTTCCCGCCGGTGCTCTCTAATAATCCTATTGTTATTGTTATGTGCGGTCG